GTTGGAACAGGAGGTTCTCCATAAGCAAGAGGAGCAGCGGCCGGAGAGACAGCACAGGGGAAGGCGCTGGTCTTGCACGCAGCCAATCTGGGTTCTAGCCCCAGCACCACATATGGTCCCCGAGCATGCACCCGAGTGATCCTTGAGCACAGAACCAGGAGTAAACCTTGAGCACTGCTGGGTGTGGACCAACTCCCATCTCTCCCCAAAAGGAAGAAACTGGACACTTCCAGGAATCACTAAAATGCCAGTGTGAGTGTCACCATCACAAACGAGGCAGAAACGAGTGTCAAGTTCAAAGGGCAAACACTGAACTTACTCTGAAGGCGCCCTCCGACTCCATGGAGAGAAGGTCCCCGTCGAAGGGAATGAGGTCCAGGCTGTACTCCTCCCTACGGATGAAGGAGCCCAGGACGCCCAGGTCCTTAAGCCGCTGCTCACACAGCAGGCTACGCCGGGGCACAAACAAAATGTGGAAATCTCTTGTGGGACCACGTCTGTCTTCACTGCAAGAGAAGGACCGTGCCTTGGCCCGAGGCCCCGATGCGAGGACTGCTCCCTAGAGCCCCACCTGTGCCTGACACACAGTGGGCTCTAAAGAGACGCTTATGAGCTAACCCCCCACTACTGACTTGGCCCAAGTTTTGGGTTTTCGTTCTCTCTTGATGTGATGCTTTTTCTGGAAACCGCTGACCTGTGCTCTGCCAAGGGGCAGTGCTGCTTCTCTTGGGCCATTGATGGGACATGAAAACTCTCAGGGTTGGGGCTGGAGCAACAGCGCAGCGGGTAGGGCGTTTGCCTTGCACGCGGCTGACTCGGATTCGATTCCCAGTTCCCAGCATCCTATATGGTCCCCTGAGCACCACCGCAGGTAATTCCTGAGTACAGAGCCAGGAGTAACCCCTGTGCATTGCCGGGTGTCACCCAAAAAGAGAAAAAAAAAACCCAAAAACCTCTCAGGGTTATTGCAATGGACATCTGTTTCTTGCCGAAAAAAAAAATGTTTCTATTTAATCAAGTGATGTCTCTAGGAAAATAAATGGTTGCTTCACACCATGCCCGATCTTGCGCAAATACCCTGCATGCTTTTAAGTCCGTTCGTAGGGGCCATGTCGATCAAACGTAATGCAGACTGGGCTGGTGCACTTCCTCCATAAATGCTGCAGCTTTAAATTTTAATCAGCTTCTCCTGACGTTGCTTATGAAATTTGAGCATATGGTATTCAGTACTTGAAAAAGAACCACTAGCTGTTTTTCTTTTTAAAAAAATTCTGGGTCCTTCTACTGAGACAGGCCGGAGCTTCCTACTGTCCTGAGAGAGTGGGTTTCTGTGGTTTGCCCTGCCTCCCCAAGCCCCAATGCACAAAGTTTCCCATTCTCTATTTATAGTTTTTGGGCCACACCTGCAGGTGCTCAGGGATAACTCCTGGCTATGCACTCAGAAGTCACTCCTGGAAAACTTGGGGACCACACTGGGTTCCGAGGATCTATCCTTGTCTGGCTGCAGAGTATCCTACTCCTGATCCCCCATTCTCCTCCGACACACTCTCACATCTGTCCAAAGATCCACTTCCTAAAGCGCTGGCAAGCAAAGGTGTCCTGATGAGCACTAAAACCACTAGAGGAATGATTCCGTATGGACCAAGCATCAGTTCTGAGATACCTAAGCACATTTTCAGCAATTATATCCATCAGTTCTAGCCGGGGTCTGACGAAAAAAATGATATTCTTGACATCTGCTGCTTGCAAGCGACTTCCTTTGAGTGTGAACATTTTCTCCACCTCATGTTCCTAGGAAAGCACACATACAAATGGTGAACAGAAATCCTAAAGCTTAGCAGCCGACTCAAACGTGGACATCACTGCAGGCAGCCAACCCGGGTTGGATTGCTGGCCTCCCACACCGTCCCCAAACACCACCAAGAGTCATTCCTGAGTGCAGAGCTAGGGGTAAGTCTGAGCACTGCCAGGGGTGGCCCAAACAAAACAGACCAACAACAAAAACTCAGGTGTTCTAACACTCCCACTCCAAAGCACAGTAGACTTTAGTGTTGAGTCAGAGAATGCAGGGGTCACGGTACATGCCTGACACATGACTGCCAACTTCGCCCCCTGGCACCACAAGGGTCTCAAGCATTGCCATGTGCATCCCAAGAGAGGCCACTGGAGTGGCCTGGGATATCCCTGCCACCACAGCGCCAAGCCTCATCGAACTGCTAAGACTCACCACCAGGAGGTGCCCACGGGCAGTGCTCAGGAGACCTGGGGCTAGGGAGAAAGTAGAGTGGTGAAGGTGCTTGCTTTGCATTCAGCTGACCCGGGGTTCTATCCCCAGCACCCCATACTGTCCACTGAGCACTGCCAGGAGTGATCCTAAGTGCAAAGCCAGGAGTAAGTCCTGAGCACTGCCTGGCACGAGCCCCCAAATAAAATTCAAAACCACTTTAGTATAAAAATTTAGATTCCCCAAAGGCAGGTGTATAAATTCAGGCTGAAGTAACCAATCCAGTGTCTGAAAAACTTGGAGCCACATGAAGTAACAATCAGAAGACATGCCGCTCCGTCAAGGAGAAGAGGGGGGTGCACACCCACCCTTGAAAGGTCCACTGAAGGCTCCTATGCTGCCCGAGCCCCTGAGTTGCTTGTGCCCATGTAGCCCAGCAAATGCGGTGCCCGCAGCTCTCCTTGAGATGGGGACTTTTGTGCTTTCCTTTCTAATGTTGGGATGTGTGTAGGGGCTCTCTCTGTCTTTGGAGAAGCCCATGGTCTCTCCTGAAATGTTACTCTCTCTCCGCTCGTCCTCTTCCTAAAGGTCACCAAATAAAATGGTTTTTTTTTATTTCAAATAAATAAACAAAAGGTCCACAGAAGATAAAACATTTACCACTCATAACAGCGTCAGTGATTCTAAAAACCAGACAGCTCTGCACACCACTTACTCCAGAAGTGGAACCTCATATTACTCTTGCTAGAGTCCAGAATGACAGTTTCAAAAAAATAATAATAACCAAAACCTTTTTACCTTTAGAAGTGAGTACTGTGCAATCAAGCCAAATGGTCCTGCGAGATACTCATCTCAAACTATTGCCTGCGGGAGAGAGAAGCATCCCGTTCTTTTAGTAAAAGGGATTTCAATAACGGCCAACAGCAAACAACAGTCATTTGCAAACTCTGGACAAACAAAACTTGCCGTTAGCAATAGCTAACCACACTCCTATTTTGTGGCCTGAAGAAAAACAGCGTCAGGGCAAGGGGCGCTACTGGCCACGGAAGCACATTCACTGTCATCCACAAAGAGTGTGTATGCAGTGTCCTGGGGTCAGACTGGGATCATGAACCCCGTGGGTGAACTGCCAAGGAAACCGTTCAACCCAGCATGTAACAGGCGTCATATAATCCAGCATCAATCAAATGAAAACCTCTCTTGTAGTTATCCCATAGGTATCTTAATTCTGAGAGAGTATTTGGAAAGCTGGGACAGTGTCAGGTGCCCCTGAGAGAGTCAGGCCTCCAGCTGACCTTCGCCTCTACCTAGGCAAGAATGGTGTCACTGGGGGCCAGGATGAATGCCAAGCGGCCTGTGAGCATTTCGCCTGTGCGACACCAGGGTCCTTTTTCCCCATTTGGCATAACTGATTGGACGAACCGTGGAGGAACAGGCAGCTGGGAGAAGTGGTACCCAGGGTAGCATGCAGCGCCACCCCGCACACGGGGACAGCGGGGAGTGCCTGGACGCGGGGCTGTAATCGTCCTGCTGAGAAGGACTCAGGTCACTCCCATTTTCCTTCCCAGAGCCAGGCCACAGGGGCTGGGAGCGCAACGTCCCCTCTCTCGGGGCTGCCGACTCTGGGTGGCGCCCCCAGACACGAGGCCGCCACCTGCCCCGGCTGTCAGCTTGCTGCCCGCGCACAGGTCCAGGAACTCGCGCAGCATGTTCAGGTTCACCCGCCTGACCACATGTGCGTGGCCTTGGCTCCACTGGGCCCCGCCGCCACGTGACGCCGCGGTCACGTGAAAATAGTGACATCACACCCCCTCATCTCCCTCCATACCGCTAGGGGCGCCGGGGGTGCCCCACGGAGCCAGGGCACAGGCTTCCGAGACTCAGCGCTTCCCGGGTGCTGTACAGACCCCCCAGACCCCCAGCAGAGACAGGGCACAGCGCTGCCTCTGCTCCCTCGGAGGGACCCTCCCGGGAAGCTGGGGACGGGGGAACGAGGGTGCCCTGGCGTCATCTCCCCTGCACTGCCAGCTGGCCTTGCGAGGGCATGTTCCCCCCCCCCGCCCCACCACGGCTCCTGGGAGCGGTCTCAGGGGGTCCTCGGGTTCCCCTGGCCATCTCCGGGTCCTGCCCAGTGAGGGACCGACCAGCAGCCCCAGCAGGCCGGTGAGCGGCTCGCTGCGCCCTCTGCTGGTCGCCTTGCGAACTGCACAGGTGCGGGCCCTGCCTGGTGCGTGGGGTCCCGCCCACCGGCACCCAACAGCGCCTCGCTCAGGCCTTGTCCCCCCGTCCTGAGGGTTCCCTGCCCGCCCCTCAGGGGCCGGCCCGTGGCTGCGGAGCCGCAGGAGGTGGCGCTGCCCGCGCAGCGGTCCCTGGGGGACCTCCGGCCGGATGCCCGAGCTCCGTGGCGCCAGGTGAGTTGGCGGGGCCGGAGCACGGCCCGCGACTCCCGGCGGGCGACCCCCGGCGCCCGTCTCCCCGCGCGGGGCGGACCCCAGTCCCAGGCGCCCATCAAGGCGCACACCGAGGCCATGTGACTGTCTTTCCTGGGGGCCGCGGCGGGCGGGCGGCGGGGAGCGCAGGGCGCGCGAGTCCTGGGCCGCGGGCGCGGACCCCCGGCGCGGGGGTCTCAGTCCTGAGGCATCTGTCCGCGGGGCTCTGGCGGCGGGGGCGGGGGCGGCAGGACTGGACGGCGGCCTGGGATCCTGGCCCCTAGGGCGGGGCGGGCGGGGGCCCCTGGCGTGCGGCTTTGGGTCTGGGTCCAGCGGTGGCCTTGGGCTCAGGCTTCGGGCTCCTCATCTCCCTCGTGCGGGGGGGGGGGGGCACCCTGCCCAGCGCGGTCTAGGAGATGGGGGTCAGCGGCGACCCGGGCGGCCTGCACTTGCCGGCAGGGGGCTGTCCCCGAAGCATCGCCCCCGCCCCAGACTCACCACCCACCCCCTCGCCTGCTAGGGGGCGCCCTCCACTCCAGGTGGGAAAACCCCCAGCCAACTGAGCCTCCTAGGGCCCGCTGGCCAAGGACTGCTGGTCACAGGCCCTGAGGGTCCTCATGGCCCCTGGGGCCTCGACTTCCCTTCCTGTACCAGAAATCAACCCAGAGAGAGGCCAGTGCACAACTGCCCTAGAACCCCCGCTCAACGGCTCCCAGGACTATTGCGGGGGGAGGGGCCCAGGCTTTGATGCTTACACAAGTTTAGTGAAATTTTACTGACTGTGAGGGAGAAAAAGTTTGCCTGTGTGTACATGCCAGAACCAGCGTATCATTGTGTCCATTTGAGTTTAAAGAAACAAGTTAATACCTTTGCGAGATGGAGAACAGAAAGAAAAAAAAAGAACTTGTTGCAGCCCCACCCCTCAAAAAAGAATTCTTTTAAACACCTAATCCCAGGAAGAAGTGCTATTTCTTGAATAAATTATTACCAAGCAATGACAACAATTAAAACACACACAAAAGGACGTGTGGGGGGTAGCACAGGGTGGGGACGGACGTTCAGTCAAGACTGGGCAATGCCACAGCCTGGAAAGGACATGAGAGGGGACAGAAGTGTGGCTCCTGGGATGCATATTGGGAGACAGACAGAGGTGCGTGTGAAGTGGGGGATCTCATTAAAGTCTGGGGTCCAGGACAGCTGTGGATGTTCGTGTCCTACTCAGTGTTTCGAATCTGTGTGCCTTGGGGATGGAGGGAATGTGCACCCCTGGGAGAAGCCGGGAGGGCCACTGGGTATTCCCTCCAACCCACCTTGCAGCACTGGATCATGCATGTTTAGATCACATGCTCTGGGCCATAGCACAGTGATGCGGGCAGGTGACACATTGAATGAGGCATAACTTACAGCAACAAGCCGAGTCTCTTTGGTCCCCGGGTGAGTGGGTGAACGAAGAGCATGTTCCGAGTGTCAGATGCCTCCCAAAACTGACAGGAGGAATCGGAGACTGAGGCCCACGTTAGAAATGGCAGAATGTATGTCTGGTTAGTGAGACCCAAGATATCCGCACACACATTACAGAATTCTCATGGGTTTACGGCAAACGGGAATTCTCACAGAGATGAAAAGAGAAGTGTGTATTTCTCTCAGCGCCTGGCTCACACTTACACTCCAGATCATTAAATAGAAAGCAAAGAATCTGAGACTAACAGAGATTTCCTGAATTCAACACCCAAGGGCTGGAAATACACCGGAAAGGGTGGACTTCTGTGCAGTTAAGCTATTACATGAGCAACACCTCGCTAGGGAATAGGATCTTGTTTAGGTGGAAATAAGAGCGTTTTAGTGGAAAGGAAATCTCTGATGCGACCCTGTGGGTCAGGAATCTTGACTTTCCTATGGCATGTGTTTGGGGCTGGGCTGGGGTCTACCCTTCACAGACAGGGGAGCTGGGTTGGTCCCCAGCACTGCATGGTCTCTGGAGGCAGGAATGACTGAAGAGAACTGTGTCCCCAAAGCAAAACAAAACAAACTTACTTGGTAACTGATCCCACCATAAGATTATTTTAAGAGTTCCTTGCTCTAAATCTAACACATACTTAGAAAGTCTGATTTTAAATGTTTATTCAAAGTGAAGGGGTTTAAGGAGGATGAGCAGAGTCTCCTGCCTCCGCGCCTGGCTGTCCTCGCGGGGACCCTTTGGAGGGGAGCAGGTTGAGTTTCCCTCCCCACCCCGACCAGGGCTCCGGCAGCCGAAGACCTCTACAACCAGCCATCACAATGCTGAGACCACTCTCCACAGGCATGAAGGTACTGGCAGAGGAACAAAGGCATGCGTGTCCTGGGGCTGAGATCTCCAAGCCTGCTCAGATTGGGGCTGAGCATCCTCCACTCAGATCCTCCATATTCCAGTAGGCAGGGGTTACACCCACCAACTGCCCCCCTTGTGCCCTGTAATCCCATCAATGGCCAAGACCCAGAGACTATAAAACCCAGCTCCCGGAAGCATCTTATTATCTCATTCTTTCTTTGGACAAACTGGCAGGCTACCGAATGTAACCTGCCCACACGGCAGAGTCTGGCAAACTCCCCGTGGCTTACGCAATATGCCAAATACCAGTATCGATGATGAGGCTCATTCTGCTAACCCTAAAAGAGCCTTGAATATGGCCCTTTTTAAAAAATTCTCAGGGCTAGGACAAAGGAGACATTACTGGGGCCTGTTCGAGGCAATCGACGAACAACAGGATGGTTGTGATCGTGAGTGTGAGCAGATTCCGATTTTTTTTTGGGGGGGGAGGGGGTCATACTGAGAGATCTCAGGGGATCCTCCTGGTTGTGCACTCAGGAATTACTCCTGGCAGTGCTGGGGGGACCATATGGGATGCCAAGGATCGAACCCAAGTTGGCCGTGTGCAAGGCAAACGCTCTCCACGCTGGAATGTCGCTCCAGTCCCACATTCCCATTCTTTGGTCAGGACTATCCAACTAGCCTGAGCCATCAGCTCTAAGGCAGGAGGGGAGGGAAGCTTCCTTGGCGCGTTCCTGACACAAGCCTGGAACATTGCACAATCACCTGGCAGCCTTTCCTCTAGTGGGCACGTGTGGCGACCCCTACTTGGACACGGCCAAACAGACCCCGGCAGCTGCTCCTGTTGACCAGTCCTCACGGCTAATTCCATTGGTCTCTTCTCAGCTCTGACTTCTACCGTGCAATCCACAGGTGGCTGGAGGACATCGGGCCTCTTTACCGATGCCCGAGTCACAAATACGTGGGCCCCTTTAAAGCCACACGCTTTAGATTTGGTGTCATGAGGAACAGCAGAGGGAGGAGAGCCGGAAGGGAGGTCTCCAGGGCCAGAAACCTTTCCCAAGGGATCACACTATCCAGATTCTTTCCTTACGACTTTCATAAGAAATAAATCTCAGTCATGATGCAAATGCCTTAAAGTGTTACTGGGCAGCCTTTCAAAATGCAAAAAACAAGAACCAAATATTAGAAACTAAAAAAATATATGAAATTCATTATAACGTGGATAGAGTTTCTTTAGTCTTTCCATCAAAGACACACAGATAGAGCAAAGGAAGCAGGAGTGGGAGGAAAAAGAGAGGGTGAGGTGAGCACGGCGGCACGTGAGCGCAGAGACAGCCAGACAGCCAGACATCAGCACACACAGTGACCTCAGGACCGCGGAGGCTGCCTCCCGGCCCCGCAGAGTTCCTGACCAAAGCCCGCACCTGACATTCTGGTTCTGGTATCTGTCCTTGGCAGTCAGGGAAGTGGGGTACGCCGAACAGGACCACCCCGCCCCCGTCTGCTCTGGGCTTTAGCAGTGGTCGGAGCAGAGCAGGACTGGCCCTGCCTTCCACAGCTGGACCTGTTTTCTTTTATTTATTTATTTATTTATTTATTTTTATTGAATCACCATGAGAAACTTACAATCTTTCATGTTTGGGCTACAATCACACAATGATCAAACACCCATCCTTCCACCAGTGCACATTCCCCACCACCAATCTCCCAGGTATACCGCCCCCCTTCTACACCCTCCCCCTGCCTCCATGGCAGACAATATTCCCCATACTCTCTCTCTACTTTTGGACATTATGATTTGCAATACAGACACTGAGAGGTCATCATGTTCGGTCCATTATCTACTTTCATCACAAATCTCCCATCCCGACATATCTGGACCTGTTTTCAACCTGTCTGAAAACCTAACTTGGAGACAAGCTCCCGAAGAAACGCTGACTTTCACAAAGTGCAGAGACACACCTTTGGCACACATCGCGTGCAGCTAAGCTGGAGATAACTACAGTCTGGGGAAAACCCGCAGCAAACCCAGGGCTGGGTGAGTGTAGCCGACATCCTCGCTCAGAGGCAGCAGTTCTGCGCCTCCATGTGGGAGCCCAGGATGGAGAGAGCCTCCGCCATCAGGACTGCACGCCAACAAGGCCCTTGGGTGCAGGCAGCGGTTTCTGCATGAACCCAGGGAAACTGGACCTAAACCCTTCTAGGCTTTCAACCTGAGAGCAGAGCAAATTCCTTTTAGCACTTTATGTACCATCACACTCAGACCTACATCTGAATCCTTTACAATCTCTACCTGCCGATGAAGATCCTGGGATTAGCTACAATTGAGATGTCTTCAGATTTCTGAATCAGACACAGCTTGCCATGATTAACGAGAAGAAACAGTTCAATATTTGTTTTAAAATTTTTTAATAGTTTTAAAATTTTTTACTCCCACAAAAAAAAAATAAAGTCATCATTTGTTCCTTAGATGCACTGAAAGTTTTTTTCCTTCGGAGTGGATGGGTGCACACCTGGCCATGCTCAGGGCTTACCAGGGCTCTGGGCTCAGGGTACCACATGGGGTGCCAGGGATTGAACCCAGCTCAGCTGTGTACAAGACAAGATAGTACCAGTTCTACGACTTCCCCGGCCCCTGAATGAATGACTTTCCATGGATGGCTGCATAAACATTCCTGGGACATAGGAGGAGAAGGGGAACAGAGGTGATGAGACAGCAGAGGGAAATGGACAAGTGGTTAAATGGGTCATTTATTTTTTAAAATTTATTTATGTATTTATTTTTGCCGGGGGTCACGCCCGGCGATGCACAGGGTTACTCCTGGCTCTGCACTCAGGAATTACTCCTGGTGTTGCTCAGGAGACCATATGGGATGCTGGGAATCGAACCCGGGTCAGCCGCGTGCAAGGCCCTACCCTGCTGTGCTACCGCTCCAGCACTAAGTTGCATGCCAAGACGAGTGTCTTAAAAAAAGAAAATCAAAATGAAACAAAAAACTGCTTCCCATTCTGACGGATGGTTTCTCCTCAAGCCAGGGGCGCCAGCCTTGATTCTGGGGG